CCCCAAAACCCCAAAACCCCAAAACCCCAAAACCCCAAGAACTAAAGAAATCTAAATTTATTTTTAAAATATTTTAAGTATGAAGATTTCTTCACGTAGGAACAGTTCTGGAGCGAAACGTTGTTTGAACAGTAAATTTTCATGTTAATAATAGTGAGCGCAGCCTCAGCCCCTAGCCGAAGTCCTGACAATAGGTTTCAGCAAGTGAAATCCAAGATCAAAGATATTTACCTCAAGAAATTTACAGGAAATTTTCCTGAATTTCATGATTATGGAGGTCATTATAGAAGTATCTCTATTCGTAGGGACCAAATTTCAAGCATTCTCAAAGAAAAATCTCAGAATCGTGCTGATTTTACAGTCAAAAAGTCTAAGGATTATGAAAGTCTAATTATGAGCGAGAAAGCCCCACTAAATATTTCTAAATAAATCAGGTTCTAATAAAAATTATAAAGAAGTTGTTCAAAGCAGACGATCATCACAGACTGACACTCATAAACGGATCAGCTCAAACCCGATTCAGGTTCAAAACAAGAGGAGAAAGAGGAAGTCTATCATAAATTCAGCTAAAAAGGAGTCAATATTTGGTAGAAAAGAGCTTCAGATTGGCTCTTTGTTTAACCTTGATAAAAGCAGTCCAGAGGACCCTAAGGTAGCCATTTTGTGTGAAGTGTAGCCAAAATAGAAAATTAAAGAATTATGAACAAATCAGACATAATATTGCTCAATCTAATAAGGTCAGGGCTAACTTCATGAAAGCTTTAAAGATGAATGAAGATGATTATTTAAAGGAATTTAAGGATAAAGCAGCAAGCATTACACAAAGACTTAACCAAGCTAATGATGGAGAGGGTTCTTCAGCACTTTTTAATCTTAATATGCATCAAGATTATATTATAAACAAGCTAGGGCTCAAAAAGAAGCTCACTGGACATGATTTGGTGATCAAAATCCTGCTTTTTAAAATCTTTGGGCTAAATAAGCAACAACAAGAAGATGCTAAAGAGAGTTATCACCCTGAGCCAAAGCCTAAGAGTGCAGCGTCTGTCAGATTTGATCGAAAGCGTATTAATATGTCTGCAAATAGGGGATATCTCAAAGATCATTTGCGTAACTTCAGTAAAGAGAAAAGAAAACCTGGGACACAACAAGGGATCCGGTATAGCAACAACCTAGCTTCTTCAACTGCTATCAATAACTCAAGGGCAAGTGAGAGAAACAAATAAGCACACCAATTCATTAGATGTTGATAGTGCTTTGAAGGTAAACACAGACCTATTCTCAATGAATAATACCTCCAAAGATCAGTTGGAAAAGCTTAGTCCGAGGTCGACTCTTAACAACATCATAGACCAGTGCTACCAGATTAGTGAAGATAATTTATTAAGTTTGGGCCAAGAGGTCACCAATGCAGATTCGATGTTCGATTTGTCCCAAACCTTAGCAGAACGACAGAAGAAGGTGTTTAAAAGCGGTCAGGAGAGCAGTTTGATAAAAGCACCAATCCGGGAGAAGTCAAATGTACAGTCCAAGGATGGTTCAAGGAAAAGAGTTACATTTCAAATCGATAAAGATGAAGAAGAAGGATCTCCTATTAAATAACATAGCCGATGTAAGTATTCTGAGTATGTCAGAATCTATCGACAGTGAAGAGTCTGGTCACCTTAAGTTGCCTTCGAAATATGAGAGCTCACAGACGAGGGAGATGCGATTTCGTAAAATGAGTAACCGACTAAATAATTTTTATAAACCTGCACTGATGACTAAGAACTTCCAAAGGCAAATGCCATTGTTTTTATCTGAAAAGAACATGACTCTACTGTCTCATCTGTTTAAGACGACCAAACATGAGAATAAGTATGTTGATAGCATCACCAAGACTAAGGGGTTCATGCAGAAATAAAATGATTAATAAACAAAAGACTAAGACTCAAGACCAACTTGGAGAGCTCTCAACCCAAGATGATATTAAAAATTTCTTGGATAAAGAGCCAAGCGAGATTTTTGCAAATGCTTTGGAGAATTTTTGGTTCAAAGATGCTGATAAATTTCTGAGAATGAAGAAATCAAAGCATTCAAGAAAGAAGTCTCTTTTGAACTTCAATGAAGAAGATGTGTATCAGCGAATGAGCAAAGACATCCATAGGAGAAACCAAAGAGACAGCAGTGGAGATAAGCAGATTCAGATTGGGACTCTAAAATCTAGAGGCACATGCAAGTAAGAAGTACATTCTAAGGAATAATTTAAGCATACTTGTTTGCTATCTATCTCTACCTACGTTCTACCTTCTTTCTGAAACTTCTTGAAGTATGAAGTTTAGTTTGAAGTGTAAAATATAAATTTTTCAATAAAAATTACTAAAATTGGGGTTTTGGGGTTTTGGGGTTTTGGGGTTTTGGGG